CTTAAGCACCTGCCCCCTCCCCCTTGCTTGTTTCCTTACTTTCCCCTTGACACACTTTGGTGTATCACGGCCCTCTCTGACTCATATTAGGAAGTTTTCCCAATAAAGGCTGTTAGGCTAGTCTCCAGGGAGGGTGGGTGACGGTCACAACCACGCATTATGGGTATAAAATATTTGACTGCAAGATTAACAGTGCATCAATCTTCACAAGAAGCTTACACCCTTTAGTGGCGCTAAGCTATGAAGACCAATGCAGACAAGTAGGGGGAAAAAAAAAAAAAAAGATATAAACAGCTCAGTCTGAGGTAACAAATACACAACGATTCTTATTTTCAGGTGATGAGTGACTAAAGAAAACATACTTTTTATATTATATTCCATTATATCCAATATATCCCTCTGAATCCTACACACTGGACCTTTAAAAACTTTTCTGTAACTATATGTAAGTAAACATGGTAGTGGGTACCTTCATGACACAGAGAGTATGGATCATTAAATAAATAAAAATCAGTATTAAACCAATTTAAAATTATGCTGAATTTATTATGTTAAAATGTTGCTTGTCTTTTGTATTTGTCCAGTTTTCCTCGCAAGAAACAACACTTACTGTTCCTCTAAACACTCACTCTCACACACACACACTCACTCACTCACACACACACACACACACACACACACACACCATCCCACTATTTCCTTCCTTTGCCTCCACCTTGTTAAGATAAATGGCCCTATTGCGTCGACTGTTGGGTCCTCTCCACTGATTTATGACACAACCAATGGACCGCAAAGGTCACGACACAGACTGCTGTTCGCCACCAACACAACTAACAAATATAATGTTTTGGTGTCACAAACTCATCGCACAAAGCATCCTTGTCAGCAAGTTAAAGTTTAAACATTTGTGCACAGGCACAGATATGCACAGGAAGCAGTTTAAGTACCTGGGTAATACTGTTGGGGGTAACCTCCTTGATAACCTGGAACCACACCTGTAAAATTAAAAATACAGTTACCGTGGTGACAGAAAAATGTCATCACTGTGTATGCTGACAATATAAGTTGGCTCATTTGATAGACTAATTAGTGTTGTCAGGAGACCTGGCAGCATAAAGCACCATCAGGTACACTAAACTGTGAGTAAACAACCCAGTAACAGCTCAGAGTGACTCATTAAGTACGTACAACGTGAGAACTTCACCTGTTTTACAAGATGCCAATAATTATTCACTATTTGGTAAAGTGGAGAGTTATTAAAACCATCTGTGGACACATTTCGCACAGACAAATATCTCTCTGGCCACTGGGAGAAGGATTAGGGCCATGAGTTTTAGGAGGCCGCACTGTCAGCTGTTACTGTGTGATTACACTCATCCCTCACTGATGGGCAGAGGAAGAGCAGGAGGAGGAAAGGCGGCAACAGAAGCTGCACTGCACAAAGTGTACAGTATGTGTGCCATATTAACCCCCCCAAAAAATAATACGGGAGGAAACGGAGCAGAAAGTACAAACGACCATGCAGCACTCCTCACCTGGCTGATAAACACCGCCACCTCCAAGATTGCCGTAACCTGTTCAAGTAAATAGCAAAGAAACAAATCATGATGATGCGTCTATACTTGTGCAGTGAGTATGATTTATTATCAGTTTTTTGGTTGCTATAGCTGTTGTCATTTCTCCCCCTGCAGTGGCTGGTGGCTCAGCTGAGGTCACAGTAACAACGTCATCCAAACATCCTCTGGCAGAGTTCAGCTGTCTGAGGGGAGGACTCTCCATGGGTTTGTGTTATCTTCAAACAGTCACACTTTGATGTTGCACACAGTATTTTTAACCATAATCAGACTCCATCAGGAAATGATGTGTTGTTGACTTGCTCCATTTACAAACTCCTAACGGTGCTGCAACACTACAGGGACCACTGCCTTTGGGGGAGGTGGATTTGGCGTAACTAGTTTGGTGAGTTGCTATGTTTCCATCCACGCCTTTTTATAATCTCAAAATATTTCAAAAAAGTTTTTACGCTTGAGGGAAGTGGAAAAGTTGGTGTATCACTAATGCTAATAATGGAAACAGATGTGAATACATGATCAAATAAAGTCATGACATGAGTGACGCTGAGATGGAAAAGTGGCTGACGGTATGCCACGAATGGCTCAGTGGCATATGCCGATCCCTCAGCAGCATGGGCCAATTTTTGTTTCCTAGGACAGCGAAGGCATGACCTGCCTTACTCTGCCTCTGAGCTTTCCATGACATTTATATCTTAATCCTATCCATTTTCACTCCCTGTAACTTAACCTAACCAATCCACCCAAGGAAGGCAATGAGTACTAGCTGATCAGAAGGAGAGGAGGGCTGGTCATTCCTTTGCTATCCTTCAAAAAGTGGTAAAGAGTAAAGAGTGGTATGCCGCTTGTGTTCCACTGGCACATAATGTTTCCTAATGACAGGGGCCACTTGAAAGGGGTAGGCCATCCTCAGTGATGCCTCATGATACTGTGACGCCATAAATATATACCTTTTCTTTTTCCATTGACAATGTATTGCAACATAGCGCCATAAATAAACGTATAACTTTAAGTTAAGTCTATTCTGTTGTCGGGATATGTGTGATGCTTTTGAAACGACAGTAAAGTAATTTCACATCGGCACATCTCTGCTGATGTACCCTGAAGCTAACATTAGAGCTAGCCTTAGCTAACACGGCTATTGTTGGGCTAACCACTGTAGCCAGTCTGACTGATTTATAACATAAGGTTAGCGCCAACTACCACTACTACTAATAATATTAATGACGGTAATATTTTTAATGTTAATAGCAGAATGCCATCACACTGTACATCAAATAAAATGCCATGTTGTGGAACATTAACCAGGCAGACCTATAGCATATTATTTCTTATTCACTATGAATACTTGACTTAGACTTGGTTTGAACTTCCACCCTTGTTGTTAGCTAATCCCCATTTCCCTCCTTTTGCCCATGTCGTCCTACTCTAGCTGTGTCTCGTTCTTGTGATTAGTTTTCTGTGTACTGTATATATACCTGTGTGTTTCCCTTTGTTTCTGGTCAGTTCGTCTGGGTTCATTCATTGTGCTCATCCCTGAGTTCTTGGTGTTGTTCCCTGCTCTGTTTCCTGCCTGGTGTCTTGTGTTCTGTTTAAGTTCATCCTGTTATCCTGGTTGGTTTTCAGTTTTAGTTCTGGTTCTTCTATCATTTTGACTTCCTGTGACCTGCCTGTTCTGGATGTTTTTCATCAGCTTTATTAAAGCTCACTTTCTGTTTAACCTCAAACCTGCCTGTTTCTCTGCATTTGGGTCCTTCCTGAACTGATTCCTGACACTGAAGTGACATTAAAGGGGGGACCAGGGTGGGATATTAAGTACAGATACATGAATCTTCATATAGAGTGTTTGCCAACATCTGCCCCACTCAAGGGCTTTTCCAAGCTCTAAGCTCTTTACATAAATATTATTAATGTAACTTTTACTAAAGGGGCTTGTCAGGAAAACAAGACTCAAGTTCACAACACATGATCTGTGATTTCCATGACCTGTAACTAGAACACAGGCCTGTTACTCTACCTGGTTTGGGTGGTTTAGCACCAAGACCAGCACCAGCACCTCCCAGTCCAACTCCAGAGGGATATGGCAACCCACCTGTCACAAAAAACACAAGACTGGTTTAGATGTGTTGATCCTACTCTTGTATGGTTCACCTACAGCTGCCCTGCACAGGACTGTAAGCTGGCCTCAGAAAGTCAAGAAGGACTGCAAATTCAGCCCCCACTGAAACACCAGCTGATTTCCTTCATCAGACTCTCCAGCTGGCTTCTCCTTCCTGACACTACACCCCACACAGAAACTTATCAGCATGTCGGTCAGTTTCCTGCACAGGAAGTGGGATGTGATGGCATCTCCCGACCAACTGTCACTTTGAGCACTAAGCAGAACGTTCTAGTTTCTTTTTATCTGAAGCAAGGCGGACACTGTGCAGGAGAGAAGCCAGACGTTATAAACATTCAGGGGGGGTCCAGGGGCATGCTCCCCTGATGAGAATTTTTCCCCATTTATGGCAGCTATATGCACAAGTCTCAAGACATTTGAGATATTAAAATGCCTTAAAATTTGTACATAATTTGGAAAAACATGACAGTTGCCAAGGAAAGAGGAACATCCTGTACAGCCTACATCCTATTCTGTATCACATTGCTCTCCAACTGTCTTCATCCCTCTGAAACCACAACACAGCACATGTTCAGGATGACTAATATTCACTCCTGCCACCTAAAAGAGGCAAATTTGTTTCTATTTTCCACTTAGAATTTGGCATAATCAGCATTACTACTCAAATATATTTTTGTAATACTGTGCCGGAGCAGAGTTCACAGAATTAATGTTTAGCTGACATATAAATCCATGCCACGATGATATCGGCTGCTCAAATTACAAATCAAGGATCCCCAACAATGCCACGTAAAGGTGTTCGTCAATACTCTGAATTGAATGTAAAGCCAGCAGAGGAACTTTACACAATTATATTACATTTCTTTAGGGAATACCATTGATCTGTGGCCTCTGAGAAACATTCGGGGACACCTCTCATACATACCCTGACCATAACCATGAAGATATGGCCTGTATCCCCCTGAATCATGATGACAGAGAAAAAAAGCATTATTGTCCGGTCAAGTTATTTCCTACAGTTTGTGTCAGGGGCTGGCTCATTCAGGATATAATGGCAGTCATTTAAAAATAAATTATCACACCTTGAACAGGGGAATGAGCAGCATTTGTGCTTTGTGTTTTCCTATTAAAGACACCTGTGTCTTGTGCTCTTAGTGTTTGCAAAAAATGTAAATAGCTGTATGATGAGGAAATGAAACGTAGGTGCGTTCTGACCTCCTGCTGCCAGTGGGATTCCTGCTCCTCCTCCTGCTCCACCCACAGCTACAACAGAGCAACAATGTATGAGCCTTCACATGCAGACAGGCAAATGAAAGCATCCCAGAAACATAAATATGCAACAAGAAATCACACTTTGGGTGGAGTGGTCTGTTTAAAGCAGAAATACAAGTCTGCAAACACACCTGGAGGTTTCAAGGGCTTCGATCCAGGCAGAGTGCCGACTCCAGGTCCAGGTCCAACTCCAGTGCCGGTACCAACACCATATGGAACTAAAGCACAGAAAGGATCGAAGTAATGGTCACTGGAATTTACACTAAGTCTTTAAATGTTTATAGAAAGATAAAGGGAGCTTTCCTCCATAGGGTCCACCATAAGGATATCCACCGGGACCAAAACCTGTACCTACGGAGTAAAAGTGTTACAAGACTGGAGGTGTAAAGACAGACTATTTAAAAGGAGATTACAATCACCGATCCTGACTTCATCCTCTACAGCTACATCTTATGAGTGTTAGATTTACTCCAATGTCTTTTTCTGCTTAAAAGAGTAACGCAACGTAGATTTTAGATAGTCATTATACCTCTAGATTATTAGTTTATCCATTCAGATATAATTAAAGCCACCCTCAATAAACCTTCCTCTTCAGTTACGCTCTGCCTCGATTTACAAGTTTTATTAAATCCACGATTAAATAGACAGACGTATGACAGATTTATTGTTACATTATCTTGATAGTGTCTAATGTTTTAGCATTTATTTCACCCCACACTATAAATGTATTCTGTTTCTTGGCTTGTTTAATATGCATGCACATGCAGCTGACCAAATTTCCCTCTCAGGGACAATAAGATTGGTATTTGATTGAGTCAGACTAAATGAAATGCAGTAAAAACACCTTGGATTTGGTCTCAAGTCAATGACAGGTAAAATAGTGCAGAATAGGGAAAATGCTCCAAAACTGCAAACCTGCAGATGCATCAAAGTGATGACTGCTCAGTCTGTTGGAGGTATAATTGGTTAGAGAAAGGCCTGATACAGCATTTCTTTATATATTAACTGCTGCTTTTATTGATTCAACTTGAGTCATTAACCGTCCAGACAGAATGTGCACAGTAAGGTAAGTACAGCCCAGTGTGTGAGAGTGTGATCTATGACAGTGGATAGGATCATAAAAATGTACCGATAACATCATTTTGATTCTAAAATGATGACATAAATATAAATATATTTAAAACTTATTTAAATCTAGATATAAATATGGGCAGTTTACAGACACTGGGCTGCATGTGGAAGTTGCACTTGTGTCAAGTTCAGGGACCTTTCAGGAAAAATTAGGTTAACATTGTGCATTATTTATCAGATCGTATTCAGTCACACAACTGTGCACTTTTTCTGCTACATATACAGTAGATGCGGGGCATTTATTGAGCAGTAATACTTCATACTCAGCACATGAAAGATTGATTTAACGTTGACTGTCTATGCTGTGAACTTCTGCACCTCCCCTGATCAGTATTTTTGCACATCATGCACAAAACTGTTCAGGAAAATATGCAAAAGGCTCCACTACCTCTGCTGCATAGAAGCAAGACACACAGACCCTGTGGTGGTTTTGCCACTTTTTTTCTCTCCCAGTGCTGTTTTGCATCTCTTTGTAGTTGTTATGCATCTTTTTTTGTGGTTTTGTGTGTGTTTTAAGTGTCTTTTTTGTCGTTGTGTCTCTCTTTGTATTTATTTTGTGTCTTTTGCAGTTCAACTGCATCTTCTTGTGGTCATTTCGAGTCTCTTCCTGGTCAGTAGGTGTCAATTTGAGTGACATTTTGCAGATGAAGGTGACTTTGTGCACCTGGGCCTGTGCATGGTAGGCCTGTTCAGTAATCCAGCTATGACTGTAGCCACAAGCAAAAGACTCAGAGAAAGGAAGTTATGTTGCAACATAAACCTTATTGTACAAATCACTTCCTATTAATGCTTTATTAGCCATCTTTACCTGGTAAGAATGGTTTAGGTGGTTTGCCAGCTGTGCCAACACCAACACCTGAAAACAACAGTGTGTAGTATTATTACAGTCACTGACTGCAGCAGACACGAACGACCATGGCTGTTGTGTCTGTCTTTGTCTCCACCATGTGGCCAGATGGATGTATCACATCCTATTACATTTCAGTGACAAACATTGCTTGAGGCCTAAAAACAACATGGATTTCTTAAATTTAAAAGTATAAACATTGAACTACCTGTAGGTTGTTGGACTCCTGTTGCAACAAAAAGAAAGATGAGGCTAATAAGTTACATATCTAACATTACACATCACATAGATAGAGAAGAAACACATAAAGAGAGCAGATCTTAACTTGTGGAAAAAAGTAAAGCTTGTTAATAAACCAGAAAGAAGACAACATGAAAATACACCCAAATACAAAGACAAATGCAGTACAGCATTAACACTAAAGGATGGTTTACCTAGTGAGTGTAAAATATAAAACTCACCTGCTAGCAAATGAGTTTGATTATGATTATGAAATTAATTTAAACTTGTTGTAATAATTTGTTTAAATTTGTTCATTCAGGCTGTCTTTAAAGTCTGAAAGTCACATGACCAGCTACACAGTGAGGTCGGTGTGATATCATAACATGACTTCAGTAAAGCTCAAACACAAACAGAGATAGTTAACACTTACCAGGCTGACCGTGGCCTGTTGGACCAACTAAAACACAGGCAGGTGTTACATCATTTAACATCCTGCATAAAGTATGTTGACTGACAAAGAGAGCGCAGTCTCACTGAGAATAAACTGATGAATGACTCATGATCAATGCACATGTGAAAGAAAAAGGAAACTGCTCTTACCACCAGATGGCACTGGAACACCTGCTCCACCTGTGACATATTTACAATTGGTCACATATCAAATGTTTTAATACAAGCTGTGCAAAATAACAGAGCATGTATTCTTTGGTATATTTCAGTATGAGGAAATTGCATATTTACCAACACTTGTGCCAGCTGTAAAATAAAAAAGAATCACCATGTTTAGCTATGTAACCTATAGTAAGTTAATATTCAATTCAACAATTAATTAAAAATAATTTCATATCTACAACTTACCGCTAGGCTGAAGGATTCCACCACCAACTGTCAAAACAAACCAGGATAAAATAATATTATGACAGGTTAAGACATCCTACAGAACAGAATTTCAAAATATGGACTTATTTTGGACCCACCGCCTGCTGTCACAGAGCCGCCACAGGAGTACGAAGGACAAGAAAATAATAAAAAAGAATAAAAGAGCAAAGTCAGTCGAATTGTCTTTTAAAATGTTAAATTTCAATAATTGTGTCTGTTGGTTTGGTGACATTCATACTAATGAAATATACAGCTGCTGTTAATGATGAATCTATACAACAGAATCAAATTGTACATGTTGGAAAAAGAGAAAGGAGAAAAACAATCAGGGACAATAGGAACAACTTAAAATAATATAAAACAATAATTTAACATGAGGAGAAAATCGTGTCAAGATGAAACAACATACTATGGACAGGTAGCATTCTATAGCAGGGGATCCACACTTTATATACATTACTATGTAAAGCTGTGAATCAAATATCAAGTTATTATCTTGGCAGTGGTTTTATAAAATTGAATGAAAATCCTGGAGCTATCACAAAAGTCCCCCGCTGTAGAAAGTGAAAAGAGGAAAAAAACACACTACTGAGGGAAAAAAATGCAGGCATACATACAGTCAAAACAAACTTTAAACATTAAATGTGGAGAACAACATCCCAACATGAATGTCTGGAAGTCTACCAAACAAAAAAGTTAGATTTACCATTATCCAGAAATTACAGCTATTGTATGCATGAAAGTTATCTTTCAAGCACAGTGTTAGTATTAGTAACAAGGAAAGCAGAAAAGAGGCCACAACTGGCAGAGTGATCGGGGAGTGTCAGGGACCAGACGGGCTAAATCAACCTCTCTTTCAGCACTACAGGTCTGGTGGCAAATCCAAATTTTGCTATTAAATCATAGATCATGTGTAATGCTGAAAGAAGTGATTAAACAGAGCCTGTTCTTACAGTCCCAAAGTGAAGCAGAATAATATTACATTAAATAATGAATCTATGCTCAGGAAAGTTTTCTACAGTCTGTCCAAACAGAATTTGTGAAGATGAACAATTCTCATCAAGGTTAGAATCACAAAATGTCCCACGCTGTTATTTTTGGCCTTTGCACATTATGACTAAATTCCATATTGTATAATTAAACATGCTGCGAAACAGTAAAATATAGCTGTGGGGCCAGCTGGGACTCCAATAAGATAACAGACTGTGCTTCTCAGATTTAAATCTGTAATCATTAGGATGCTAAATTTGGATGGTGCTCAAATCATGAAGAAGATTCTTAAAGGGACACTTCACCCCAAAATCAACAGTATCTTTTTTCTCTCACATGTAGTGCTACTTATCAATCTAGATTTTTGTGGTGTGATATGCTGAGTGTTCTGTTAGATATCAGCAAGCATAGGTATCATAGAACTCGATGGCACTTGGCTCGTGGTGCTTAAAACACACACCAAAGAAAATAAAAACATTTGCAAAGCTCAACAGAAATGTCTCTTTCCAGAATTCATGAACCTGTTACTCAAGATAATCAACAGACCCTGTTGTGAGCATTTTTTTAATGTGGGAACTATTTTGAGTAACCGAAAGAGTTTCCTCTGTGGGGTGGCTGGGCTCAGCCTGAGAGATAGGGTGAGGAGCACGGACATATGGAGGGAGCTCGGAGTAGAGCCGCTGCTTCTTCGCATCGAAAGGGGCCAGTTGAGGTGGTTCAGGATGGATGGGACTATTTTTTTTCTACCAAACTACACCTGTCAGCCGTAACACTGTGCAGATGGATGCAGCAACTGCTAGCGTACCTAGCACCACTGAGCTTGCTAATGTTACAGCTCAGCCAAGGAGGTTGCCATTAAGTTTCGCGCTGTCATATACCTCTTGTCCATGAGTCAATGTACACTTCCTTCTGTGCGGTGATACAGTTGGTGAGTGTAGGTCAGTAGAAAGAAAATAGTTCCTCACACAACAAGCTTCGGGGCATGATTTTTGGCAAAAGACATTGCTGTTCAATGTTTCAAATGTATTTTTTTGGCATTTTGAGCTCCACAAGCCGAGTGTCATCTAATTCCATTATATTCAAGAGAAGACAGACATCTCTATGGCTGATATCTATAATATTCAGCAACTCATACTAAAACAATCTAGACTGATAAACAGCACTACAGGTAAGAGGAAACTGCATTTTGATTTAGCATTGAACAGTCCCTTTAAGTGCCTCTTTTGGGATAAACAAGCACATTCACAAATACTGAGTGGACTGTCTCGTACTACATCAAAGTGAAGAAAGACATCATACAACTCAACTACAATTTGAAAAATATATTAAATAACATAGATTTCACTTCAGAGGTTTCATGCGAGTCTTACTGGGCCGTGGGACCTCTGGGGTCTTGCCAATTGCGGCAATAGGCGTAGGCTCTGCCAAAAAACAACAGGTTCCATTTTCATCCACTGTACATTGAACAGCCGCAGAGTGAGAGAGACTAGACAAGGCAGAAGCTGTGAGGTGGTCTATGATACTGCCACAGCTGCTGTAAGCTAGAGGTGGTCAATAGCTTTTAGCACTAGCAGTACAAACAACATGAGTTTTGTGGGCAGAAAATGGATGAAAAACATGAAGAGGGGATAAATGATGGCACAGTACTGCTGCAGTCGCCCCAATGTTATTATATATAGGTGCTTCTTCCTTCTCCTTCCATATGCTGTATAAAGCTACTGCAAAAACATATGTGTGAATATGTGTACAATTATGTCCTGGGAAAAGCAGAGTGTTGCCATTTCACTGTACCTGGTCGAGGAGTTCCAGTAAATCCTACATCCTTTCCTGTGAAAGCAATGAAAAGATGATTCACAATGCAAAACATATACGAAGACTCATCTAAGACAATGAGAAACTATATTCCTGAGCTTTACCTGGCACAAGAACAGCAGAACCATCTGGGGCACCACTGACAGCAGTGTCTGGAGTGGCTCCTGGTACATCGAGTCCTATTCCAGTGACTCCTCCTGCAAGAGACACACATGAGGTGGGCAAACTGATGCCACTTTGATTTGCTACATTTCAAATCAAACAGCAACTTATGAAAGTTTGTCTCCAACTCAAATCCTAACAATAATGGCTCTTATGTCAACACATTCTCACTCCGACCTCAGCACATATTGACATTTTGGTCATGGACTTTCCACGTCCACATACGACGTGCAAGGTACCCTGGGTCTGTTGGTTGTTGACGATCTGGGACGCCGTGTCAAGTTCTGCCTGTTACATGCATTGTCCTCTTTCAAGACATACTTCCGTTTTCACAGGAAATTTAACATTTACACACAGTCTCTTTCAAAATAAAAGCATTACGTCAGCACAATAATGCAAACAGATCTTTCCCTCACCAACAAACACACATCGTTAAGTTAAGGACCAAAGAACAGGGTTTGTTTTAGAATCTTACGGGACGTGAACACAACGCTCCCGGGTGTAAGTTGGTGTTTGTTGGCCCATCCACCACCCCTCCCGCCCGCCCCACTCAAACTTTTGCCGCCTTAACTATAACAGCCATTAAGCTATAACGCCCATTAAACTGTAACAGCAACCGGGTGCGTATCATGCCAACGCTAAAGGACACCTTTTTTGTTGGTTTCTGACGCTGCAAGACACTGCCCAAGCGCCAGATTTCTACAACTTTGGAGTAAGACAGGGCTCCTAATGTAACTGACCCTGACAGAGCTCTGGGCTAAGCCCCAAACATAGACGTCGGAACTAGGGGTGCACCCCCTCCCATCCGCACCCCAGCCTCCCTACCCACTGCATTACGCTTTAAAAAAATAAAGCATCTGAATTTAAACTCAATTTGTCTGACTTACATTTATCTCTTTCATATCATTAATGCATAGATCTATGCTTTTGATGTGATATGCAACCTGCCTGACTACATACAGTAGCCTTGGCATCCAGGATGTTGTGTCCATCCTGCAAACCTTGCAGCCCCAAACCCGCTCCATGCTGTCGGAGGTGGAGAAGCTCATTAAGCTCTGTCTGGCCCTGCCCATATCTGTCGCAGCATCCGAGCGCTCTTTCTCAGCCTTGCGCAGGCTGAAAACCTGGCTGCGCAACACCATGACGCAGGAGAGACTAACACATTTGGCCATTATGAACGCTCACAGTGACCTTATGGATGAAAGCGATGTCTCGACCCTGCTTAAAATCTTCATCAGTAGGTCAGCTGAGAGACGGTCCACTTTTGGAAATGCATGAAAGCCCTGAGTCAGGAGCGCAGACTTTTCTTTTTTTCATTCAAGGTTACAAATAATGTTATGTTCCTTAAATGGCTTGATTTAGTTATCAAAGTTTCATTTTCTTAACAATAAAGATGCCGTGTTCATCCATTCTAGTTCTCTTATAACTGCATGTTATTATAAAATAACTTCAAATCAAATCCTTAATCATTGATAAGTCTGCCTGCTTTCCCAGCCCCTCCCAACAAAAATACCCCCCCCCCTCAGAAAATAGTTCCAACGTCCATGGCCCCAAATGTACTAGAAATCCCAGAAACACCCTGCGTACACCCGACCTGTGCAGGGCTGCAACTGGATTTGCCTCTTGGCAAAGATGAGTGAGGATAGCAAATGTCGAAAGGTTGAAAACAGGTTATTGATAATGTTTGTTTAATAGCTGTCATGTTACAAAATGGTCCCCGGGCAAAGCAAGCTGATTGTCCCTGACACATGGGCTATGTTATATAACTTAGATGGAAATTGTGAGCAGATGATGAATCTTTGTTATTAGTATAATGTGACTAAATGTTTGCAAGAGTTTCCATGTTCTCCTTACCAAGTTTTGGTGGTTTCACACCGCCTGGATAGCCTGCATATAAACATACCCTCATCAATATTTTTACTGAACAATGGCACAATAATAGTACTCCTACTGTTTTCTCATGCACATACAGTACCTTCAGCCCCAACCCCTGAGGGTACAACTCCTCCAGTTCCTGCTGTCCCTCCCAGTTGTCCTGTTCCTAACCCTGCTCCAGCTCCCCCTGTAACACCAAAGAGAAGTAGAGCAGGTTGAATCACTACCCTTTAAATCAGTTTATACACAAGAACGTGAGTATGAGTATGTAGTTCATGCACTAATAAGATAAAGTACAAGATAAAATAGATTTATAATAACTGAAAATTAAAGAGGTCCGGGAAGAATCAAGTCATACATGAATGTGTGATATTTGTGTTTCTGTGCATATGTATTATACCATATTTAGCAGCTTTTGCAGCAGCAGAGTATTGTCCACCTCCTAGTCCTCCACCAGGAACTCCTACTGCTCCTCCTCCTCCCAGCTGTCCTGTTCCTAACCCTGCTCCATATCCTCCTGGTCCTGCTGCAACTCCTAATTAAGAGAAATACAGCATGTTGCATGATTAGTTTAGTTAGTGGAATGTAACAACAAGCAGGATAAGATAAAGTAAGAGAGAAAAAAGATTTATAATTATTGAAAATTGGTTACAGTTAGTTTAAACACCACTGAATGTCTCTGAATGTGTAGTATATGTGTTTGTATGCTTCTTGATTATACCGTATTTAGCTGCTTTAGCAGCAGCATAGTATTGTCCACCTCCATATCCTGGTCCAAAACCAGGAACTCCTCCTGCTCCTCCTGTCCCTCCTAGTTGTCCTGTTCCAAGCCCTGCTCCAGCTCCTCCTAAACCTCCTTTTTTTTTTTTTAAGGAAATGGAGCGGGTTGTATCATTAATAAAATCTAATGCTATGTCAGACAAGTTACAGTAATTATTGAAAACTCAACCCTACCTATCAAAATACATCTGTGTATATGTAGAATTTATGTACTTATTTCTGCTGCAATTTTCTTCTAAAACTACACCAGGTACTCCTCCTTCTGTGCCTCCCTGTCCAAATCCTGCACAAGGCCCTTGTCATGCTGACACACCTTTAACAAAATAATACTATACATAAATGGTACTGGTACATAAATTTCCATTCGCTATCTCTGCCACATGTCTAAGGTCCGAACTAGAATTACCACCTTGTGGTTGTATGCCTCCGCGCACCAGTCAAGTTGCACTTATAGTTTACCTTCATGTCTGTGAAAACATGGAAGCTTCACACACATCTTCCCCTCAGCAGCACAGATCTATACAATCAGCACAGTCTCAAAGTGGACACCTAAGTCTCCCCTTCTGTTCCTGAGATATGACACTGAGTAACGGCCACAAAAGTGTTTTTTCAGAACATTATGATGTCACAGTGAAGTTGACCTTCATCATTTTATTCTGATACACATTTGGGTGTAATTTTGTCAAAATTACATATGAATTCTTGAGTAATTTTATTTATTTATTGTATTTATTTATTTTATATACTTTATTAATCCCCCTGAGGAGAAATTCAATTTTTTCACTCTTTTATCATTAACACACAGGTCCGAAAGACACACACATGCACAAATAGGACCTATTCATGCACAAAGTGGAGAGATGTCAGAGTGAGGGGGCTGCCTTGGTCAGGTCCCCTAGCGGTTGGGGGGTTCAGTGCCTTGCTCAAGGGCACCTCGGCAGTGCCCAGGAGGTGAACTGGCACCTCTCCAGCCACCAGTCCACGCTCCATATTTGGTCCTGACTAGGGATGGGCAAACAATCAAAATTCATTATTCGATCATCAAAAAAATTAACGATCAATTATCGATTAATTGATAAGCGAGTATTTCAAAAGAGAGAAAACAAAAGAGTGCAGTGCAGACTGTCGCCGCAAGAGAGCGCAGCTGCCCCAGTTTTGAGCTTCAACCCCCCAGGCCAAAGAAGAAGAATGGCGCGCATGCGCAGTTCACCCCTGGGTGTTTACAACTGTTGCCAGCCAGAGTTACAGGCTTCAGTTTTCAGCAAAACCTCCGTCTTTCAATGGCGTAGTGTTTTCAGAGGCCTCAAGGGAAGCCGCTGAGGTTTTGGAAAGGGATGAGAGCCTCCGTCTGTTTCTGATTTTTTGCCTGGCATAGGTCCGGCGGGGGTCTCGTAGGCCTGTCGAGCTGTGGCTCGCCAGACCTATGTCAGGCATTGTAGGGGAAACACTGCGACTATTGATCAAAATTATTTGTGATCGATCAAAAGCCTTAACAATCAGTCATCGATAATCGAAAATTGATGCCAATCCCTAGTCCGGACGGGGACTTGAACAGGCGTTCAACCCAAGTACCTATGGACTGAGCTACTGCCGCCCATAATCAAGTGGTATCATCATCATAATGACCAAAAACATGTTTTGTGAGGTCACAGTGACCTTTGACCTTCGACCACCAAGTTCTAATCAGTTCATTCTTGAGTCCAAATTTGCCAAATTTGAGGAAACTCCCTCATGGCCTTCTTGAGATATTTCTTTCACAACAATGGAATGGATATAAAGTTGAAGTGACCTTTGACGACCAAAATCTAAGAAGTACATCATTGAGTTCAAGTGGATGTTGGTGCCAAATTTGAAGAAATTCCCCCAAGGTGTTTTTAAGATATTACATTTATGAGAATGAGACGAATGCAAGGTCAACCTGAGCATGGTTTTCGAATTTTCGAGTTTAAATAAATCAAATAAATAAAAAATATTCGACCACCAAAATCTAATCAGTTATCGTTGAATCCAAATGAACATTTGTGACAAATTTAAGAAATTCCCTCAAGATGTTGTTGAGATATCACTTTCATGACAATGGGATGGACAGACAGATGGACAACCCGACAACATAATGCCTACGGCCGTTGATATTGCCAGCACAGAGGCATAAAAACATCTTACCATATTTTGGGGGTTTGACTCCAGCACCAGGTCCATAACCTGCCGAGAGGCAACATAACATCTGTGACTGAGAATTCATTTGATTATATTAAATTATCATAAAGGAAACAGGAAAAACACTTTTGTTGTGCAAAATCTTTTTTTCTATACCGATGTATCAGTTTAACAACTTACCACCAAATCCACCTGCACCAGGAAATACCTGTCCTGCTCCTGGGACTCCGCCTCCTCCTAGGCCTGCTCCTGGGACTCCTGTTAGGATGTGAATAAAGAACGAATCTCTCTAATTTTCAAAATGTGTTTGTCACTTATAGCCTTTACCATCTTAGCAAACCAAATTAACTCTATTACTATTTTCAAAGTACAATTTTCCAAAACTTGTTATTGTAACACTGGATTTATGTACTAGTAAAGTCAGGCCACATGTTACGACATGGTAATCAGTACACTGTTTGAAATGGAACAGATCGCAGTCTCACCATATTGAGGTTTAGCACCGGCTGCCAAAGCTGCAACACAACATTTCCAGAAGAAGTTAGATCAAAAGCAGTAAAACATCTCTTATTATTATTATCATTACTCATGTAGATCAAAGTCTGTGGACCATGCTTACATCCGTATCCTGGTAAAAATGGGACTCTTCCAGGAACTCCTCCTCCACCTACACCACCACCTGGAACTCCCCCTGCACCGCCCGGACCTTAGATGCAAAAATTAATCATGTAATTATGTACACTCACTTTAATACCACTTAAAATGTGATGGCTTGGGTCTGCAATATGTTTTCCAGAGGTTGAATTCCAGTCACCATATTTAGCAGCTTTAGCAGCGGCAGAGTATCCTCCACCTCCTAGTCCTCCTCCTCCCAGTCCTCCACCTCCCAGTACTCCTGTTCCTCCAAGTCCTGCTCCTCCTAGTCCCCCTGCTCCTGTGGTAGAGAAATTTATTTCCATGTAAAGCTGGTGGTATGACCTTTATTTCACAAGCTTTGCATCTGAAAGTGTTTTCAAGCAGGCTCTAGTTAAGTTGTAATGGTAGGAACTAGGGGGCAGGTCTGAGCATTGTCAAGACTGTGGAATTGCTGGGTACTTCAAAGGTAGCAATGTCAAAGCTGTAAAATAAACCATAGACTATTGCTTGTGGTCTCAGCACCTTTTAGGTTTCTGCTATGTCCTACCACCACCTAGCCTTTGGTATATTATCTGACTCGTACGTCGCATTGCACTGTTGCTAAGAATCCAATCTACCTACAGGAAACACATGACAAGTTATGAGATTTGATAACAGTAATCTATATTACCATATTTAGCAGCTTTAGCAGCAGCATATCCTGCTGCTCCTCCCAGTCCTCCTGGTCCTCCCTGTCCTGGTGTTCCTCCAAATCCTCCTGTGCCTCCCAGTCCCCCTACTCCTGTGAAAAACAAGTTTTAACTTATGAGCCTATTGATGTGAAAGTTGCTGCATGGCTTAATTCAGTAAATTAGCAAATAGGAATAAGATGCTTTTGTGTGTACAATCACAGAACCTTGTGTGGTTGCGTTACTGTAGGCTATGAGTGCATTATATAGTTTAAGACAATTGAATACCACAAATACTTTAATCAATGCTGCTTACATGAAGATAACAATTAAACTGACGGGTCATTAAAGTGAGCCAAGACCTGACCGTGTTCACTGTTGTGATTAGTTATTGGGTAGTTGGCTTTGCCAAAGCTAAGCTGATGTCAGTAAGCTAATGCTTCACAAAGAAAGAGTCTTCATCATGCTTTTTACTAACCAGGCACCTTTATACACCATAGATAACATGTATATGCTAACACTTTTTTAGTGTCTTTGTCTTCATAAGTGAGTCATGCCAACCTTTGCTATGTCAAAAACTCTAAAATCATTCAATCTTAACTATTAATATGGTAAGTCTGATTTTAGTTACCATTTGAATTATTAATAAAAGTTAAAAATTGATAGTTTAGTATATTATATAAGACTGGGATAATTAATTGGCTGTCATTTTCCTTTCTCAAAATGTGTTGGCCCACAAGATGATTTAATACACGTTAAATCCTGTTATTTATTTAATTAATTAATTAATTAATTAATGATCATTAATTATTTCTGTAGCCATTTTAATACTTTTAGCCACAAGCGTCCAATAGATGTCTCTGATCTTAATTGAATTTTATCTTTAGCAGGCAAGAAAAATTCCCATACCATATTTAGCAGCTTTGGCAGCAGCATATCCTCCACCTCCTCCCAATCCTCCTCCTAGTCCTCCTCCCAGTCCTCCTCCTTGTCCGTCTCCAAGTCCCCCAGCCCCTAACTGTCCTCCTGCACCTCCTAGCCCTGCACACATGGCCAAGGGAAGGCAAGACAAAACATAATTACAACTAATACTTGATATAAACAGAGTAAGTATTTTGTACTTTTGTACTACCATTTATACACCATACCATATTTAGCTGCTTTGGCTGCTGGTGAATATCCACCAACCACTGGTGCACCTCCCGGTAGCAGTCCTGGTACCCCTCCTGGTACTCCCCCTGGTACCCCTCCTGGTACCCCTCCTGGTACACCCCCTGGTACTCCTCCTGGTACTCCCCCTGGTACTCCTCCTGGTACTCCTCCTGGTACTCCCCCTGGTACTCCCCCTGGTACTCCCCCTGGCACTCCTCCTGGTACTCCTCCATGCCAACATAAATGGAGAAGTTCTGATTAAACTTAATAATAATTACTGAAATTACTGTATGCTTTTCAGCTACTTACAGGATGAGTGAATAGATAATTTAAAAAAATGTGGGACAAGGTGATTTTAAATATGCTTCCATGATAGAAAAAACATTAATGTTCTTACCATATTTAGCAGCCTTGGACCCCACTCCAAATCCTGCTGCAAAATATTCAAAGATAGAGAAGCATATGAAAAACATGAATGAGAATGCAATTAACTGACAATAGAGTTTTAGTTTAGTTTGTTTTATGTCATTTATTGGATACAATACCTCCTGGCACCTGCCCTGGATACAGTCCACCAGTGCCTCCAACACCACCAATGCCTCCGACGCCGCCAACACCACCAACACCACCAACACCACCAACACCACCCAAGCCTGGAGCAAAGAACACAGACTTTAGTTAGATACAAATATGTTCATCACTGATTTTACACAACTGTTATCATGTTTTTCTTGCCAGAAAACCATAGTGTTGGTAATGAATGTGATAGATTACCATATTTAGCAGCAGCTTTAGCCTGAGCAGGTGTGAGGCCCCCCACCCCCACTCCTGCAGAATGAGAAAAACAAAATACATTTAGTCACTAAAGAGTTTAGTGAATCCCAGAGAAAGTTTGAGTTTAAGCCATGTAGCTCATTGCCACAGCAGCTTTTCATTGTGTTTGGTTACAGCTAAGTTTGCTGCAATTTTTGTACTGTGTTTTTCTGTCTCTCATGTATTATTAGTTCATCCACTTAATCACATTTGGTTGGCAGTCTACAGTATAGTTAAGAATGAGATTCAGATTCTTCAGATGCCTAATCATAAAAATAATGTAAGCCATCCTAAACATATCAAAGGTACCCTGAAAACCTTTGGTTTGAGTATGGCTAAAGACTAGGTGCAAATGTGTGGCCACTCGCTCTTTTCATTTTAAGCATCGTGCATCACCTCCTAATCATCTAATATAGGAAGAAACTGGCAATTTTGACTTTATTTTCAACCATCCAACAATTCTCTTCACTGGTGAGGCGTAACGTTTTAGTCATGAGGGCCCAAAGATGGTTATACACTTTTATATTTGTATTTTATGTATTTTCCTAAATATTATACCTCCTGGCACCTGCCCAGGATATAGTCCACCAGTGCCTCCAACACCACCAATGCCTCCGACGCCTCCAACACCTCCAACGCCACCAACGCCACCAACACCACCCAAGCCTGGAGCAGAGAATGCAGACTTTAGTTAGATACAAATATGCTCATTACTAATTTTACACAACTTTAATCATGTTTTCTTGCCAGAAAACAATTGTGTTGGTAATGAGTGTGGTAGATTACCATATTTAGCTGCAGCTTTAGCCTGAGCAGGTGTGAGGCCCCCGGGCCCCACGCCTGTAGAAAGAAAAAAAAGAATTGAGCATTCTTTGGTCTTCACTACCTTTCTACTCCATGTCAATTAACAGTACATTCATAACAACACACACCAGTTCCAACAGGATATCCAGGCCTTGTCCCAGCGCCACCATTACCATAACCGTAACCTGAAACATTGTAATGTGACACATCATTAATAAATCAACTGCTACCAGTCATACCAACTATCAAAATACCAAATATTAATTAAAAAAAAAAAATGTACCTAAAGGCAGTTTGCCACCTCCAGCTTTTGCTCCATAGGCACCTGAAAAGAAAAAATTAAACATTTGAGTGAAAGAGAGTCAGAATAAAAACACATGATTATATGCTACAAAGTACTTACATAATCTGTCATAAAAATCATCTGGGAGATTGTTCATACTTTAAGTGTTATCGTTTTGAATGCATTAATTTGACTTGATTCCTCAGTGCTTATTCATTTAAAGGTCCAGTGTGTAACATTTAGTAGCCTCTATTAGCAGGAATGGTGTGTAATATTCAAAACTATATTTTCACAAGTTTATAATCACCTGCAAATTAGAATGAGCTGTTATTATCTACATAGGGAGTGAGCCCCTTTCCCAAAGAATCCACCATGTTTTCTACAGTAGCCCAGAATGGACAAACCACACACTGGCTTTCGATAAAGCCATTCACATTTTCATATCAGCCACTGTAGGTCCCCTACATGCTCGCACACAAGAGAAGTTTCAGTTCTGCAATCACATAGCTAGATGCCACTAAATCCTACACCCTGGTCCTCTAAATTGTACAAGAACAGCTGCAATGACTACATTTAGTCATTGAGGAGACTCGTGAGTCCCAGTAAAAGTTAAAGTTCAAGCAATGTAGTTTATTGCTATGGCAGAATTATGCTTTTCAGCCTGTTTGGTAACAGCAACATTTGCTGAATTATTTTTTATTACATCTTTCTATTGGATCCAGAAAGTCACATATTTATTGAGTTATTTATTATTGTTCACTCATTCATGGTTGGCAGGCACCATAGCAAAGTCAACAGTGTAGTGGGTTTATTCATTTGCCTCCTGACTGCAGTGATGATTCTGCTTCTATTACACAGTCCCTACTCAAAAATAACTGATTGGCAATCCATGTTTATATAGTAATTCTCAAATTACCACAAATAAACAGGTATACCAGATTCTTAGATGTCTACATAGAAAAATAATGTATGCCATCATAAACATATCCCACGTACCCTGAAAACCTCTAGTTTGAGTATGGCTGAAGGCTACAAGCAAACACATGGCCACTGTTTTCTACTTTTATCATTATTATCAAGAGACACGAAATAGATTTTGTCAAATACATTCAGTTCTGTAAACCTGTCGTCCTTTTATTAATGGGATTTTGTAGCACCCTAATGGACGTGGTTGAGTTGGCAAGCTTACTCTACTGCAGCAAAGTTTAGTAGTAGCATCTGGGGCTGTCTCATCCCCTGCAGGACTAGGAGCACAGTAGCATTACTGTGGGAATCTGCAAAGCAGGCACTGGAGGCAATGTTCTGCTTTTGGGGCCATCAGAAATAAGAAGAACCTTTCTGTGGCCCCAAAGACAGACTGCTGTCTTTAGAATCAACTAGCGATAAACCCACCATAGAAAACCTTAGGGCGGTACCCATAGATGTGCCCTTTGGTTATCAGGCCATAAGGCGACTGAGTATGTCTGTATGCTGGAGAAAACAGAACTCTAACATCGACAAAGTTCAAATAGTCGCTGTGAACATATCACATCATGCGAACAGAAAAATGCCATCTCTGAATAAGAGTCACTGCACAGATTTAGATCACACCTTGCAGTTTGGGTAATTTGAGGGGGTATCCATGAAACACTCCTGGCTGCATCTGCCCACCAAACCCACGGCCTCCTGTAATGAAGGGAATAAATTAAAATCTTGATCAGCAGATGCCAATGATACAGAAATAGTTGTTTGTAACACTGAAGTTACCTGGTCCTTGACCTCCTTGTCCTCCTCCTCCTCCAACTGCATAAAAAAATCACGTAATCCATTAAGATACACAGATAAAAGATCATAGTTTGAAAGAAAATACTAGAGTATTAGCAATGAACCAAATACAGTAAACTGAACACCGGCCTTGAAACTAAATATACCCTGTATCATTAATAAAATAAAAAGACAGAAGAGGTATTCAGTTGTGATGAAAGAAATTTAAAATCCAATACTTATGGGTAATAAAATAGACCTTACTTGATTTGGGACTCAGGTCAGTTCCAGTGGCCACCCCAGGCAGAACGCCACGTCCACCAAACCCTAAAGAAGCCATAAGCAAACCCCCCAAAAAGACCTTCATTAAATCCCTGTGCAGTACTTGTTTGCAAGAGCCCTGACCATTCGCATGGTGAAACACTTGACAAACAGTGCCTGACAATAAATCTATAAAAGTGGCTAACCTTGTCCTGGCACCAGTCCACCTTGGTAAAGTCCAGGTACACCCACACCTGCCACAGCCAATGAGAGGACAGTAATGCACTTCTGCATCCACATTCAAAAATGTGAGAGTGATCTGGCATGCATGAGCAGTTTTTTAGGCATTCATAACAACTTTTAAGAGAAAAAATAGAAACAACAAGACCCAGACAGGATGCAGCATATCTTGTAATCCAGGCTGCTTGTTTACTTACTTCATTTATTGTCTGTGATCTCTCTGCACTTAATGCAACTACTTAAAGTATCTACAGAGGTGCTGCTGCGTTTGGCTTCATGGGCTAATTTTTTTTATGATGTTTCACCTTGGATATCATCTATCTATCTATCTATCTATCTATCTATCTATCTATCTATCTATCTATCTATCATCTTCCTACCTACGTACCTACCTATCTATCATCCTACCTACCTACCTACCTACCTATCTTCCTATCTATCGTCCTACCTACCTACCTATCTTACTACCTACCTACCTACCTACCTACCCACCCACCCACCTACCTACCTACCTACCTACCAACCTATCTATCTTCCTACCTACGTACCTACCAATCTATCTATCTATCTATCTATCTATCTATCTATCTTGGCTTATACTGCACGAGCTGTGTGAGAGTTTGTAAACAGATGTCTTGATATAGCTTTGCTTTCCCCAGTCAATAAATAAATCAATATGTCCACTGTTTTTCATGGAGGCTTGCAAGAAAAAAGTGTTTTCACGACTTCAAGCTCACACGACATGACTTACTGATAAAGTTTATTTTAGTTTCAGTTCTGTATATGTGGGGGTTTGTTTGAAAATCTGAGTATACAGATATAAAGGAAGCTGTCTTATAATCTCACATTAACAGGGCCAATATAAACATCTGTATTTTGCCAATAATTAGCATATTTAAAAACAATTCCAAGCCCACAAACATCTGCCACATGCAATGGAAAATGAATTTGATCCGCTGCCTAGTGAACTGCATCCTGTCTGCTTTCAGCCGTTTGAGTTTATTGTTGAGTCTACGAGACCTGGGACTTTGGCAGCTTTCTTTCCGCCAGCACCAACACCTCCACCCCCTCCTGGAAGGCCTGTCTGAGGAATAACAGGTACTGAAAAAAAAAAAGATTAAATGTTAACTTGGCTCATCGAACAAACATACAGTGTGAAAAACATACATACATCTTTCTTGTGAGGCGCTGAGTCCAAACAACTATAACAGTGGTCCCTGCCTCCCAGGGATTCTCAACACTGTTAACTGCTCTTCTTAAATTTCTTACTTTATTGCATTATAAAATGAACTATGATCGGAGCCCAAAGTGGCTCTTTGTCAGATAAATCAATTCCACTTTTCCTGATGAAGAGCCAATTTGGGGAGTGAAATGTTGTACTATTCCTAAAGCATTAAAATAAAAATTTAAATGGGAATGGGAACACGGTTGCAAGTCCTTGGGAGGCAGGAATCACAGTACGACAAGCACAAACAACGCATAATGAAATAAAAAATGAGATATGGACAGAATGATGTGTTGTGTGTGTCTTGCCTCCAGCGGGCACTGCGGCTCCAGTTCCTGTGCCACCAGTGCCTCCTCCTGCCCCTAGCACAGTTCCTCCAGTCCCTGTTTGAGCACAAAGTGCACAGATTCATATAAATATACAATTTCAGCTTTGAGTTTATAGTCAATAACAATTTTGAGGACATCAGAGTAATGAAAACCTTACAAGTATTCTACAGTTGTACATCCCATGGCCACTAGAGGGCTCCGTGATACTGAAAGGATCAATGAGCAGGTGTGTGGCTTGTGCCAGACTTGACCTCTTCAGCAGGGAGCCAGATCCTTAGACACACCGTCAGTACTGACAGCAGCTAATCTGGCTCTACAAGTCTGTCATCACCCCGTGATCAAAAGCAACATGGCTGAGTTTTAATCTAATCAGGAGAGGCAGCCAGCACGCATGGCATTTGCCTTGCCTCATCAAATGCCTCATTTATTTGGCTATCCCCTCGTGCAGGAAATGAGCTGTCAGCTTCACTTGTAAGGGAGCTTGGCAGCACAATAAAACACATCGGTTTGTTTGTTTAAACTTTTCTTTCTTTTCTAACATTTTTAATCTTAAACTCCCCATACTTTGCCGGGCAGACGTTGCGCACTGCCTGTAAGTATGTGGCCTACGAGATTTGGTGAGGAAAAGTTTGGCAAGGGAATGTTTTATTTTATCTGTGCTCTTTTAGGGGAGTTCATTGTTATTTTGAGTGTCATGAAAAGAGTACAGACAGACTGATTCTAGGGACTGCAGTTTTGTCATTGCCAACCAATACTTAAGCCTAGGCTCATTGCCACAGAACAGTCCTGGCCATGATTGGGCCCTCCAGAGTCTGTGGTTAATCAGCCTGCCTAATTTCAAGCAAATCATGTGTACATACACGGTACAGACTTTGAGGTCACGCTGGGCTCTGCAGAAGTTCAAACGGTCCAAGGTTTGCAGGTACATCATAAAAATGTACGCATGCTTGCCAAACAGTGTTTCTCATGCTGAGTTACCATTAATGTGAAACATTCATTTTGGCTTTCTTATAACATGCAAGCATGCGGACCGAGTTCATGCAGCACACAGTTCGATTTCGTACAGTAGTCTGACATCTGGCCAAGAATCGACTTACCTCCATGTGGTAGCAGTGGACCTCCTGCACCTGCCATCAGGACAACCAGAATGTCAGCAGCGTTCGGCAGTGTAAGAGATTTGGTAATCAGAATAACTGTGCTGATTTGACTGATTTTAGGACAATGGTTGAACCAAGCTGAATATTTGACCAGTTGATACTCATGGTTACCTCCTAAACCAGGCAAGAGAGTAGATTACCAGCATAGCCTGAGCGAAACAAAAGTAAAGCAGTAGTATTACAGTTAATGTGGATGATAACTATATTGATGTGCCCCAGTTTGAGCCTTCAAGAGCTCCAGTTCCACACAGAAGGTTGTTCAACATAAGTAAGACATAATCTCTCTGGTTGTAAAGAATAAATTCTAAGAAGCATGCCATGTCCATCCCCCCTCTACAGAGATCTTTCACCCTAAGCCAAAAAGGGAAAATGAAATATAAAAACCAAACCTGGATACCTAGAATTTTATTTTATTACTGTCTTTTTGTTTTTTTTCCTGAAAGTCAAAACAGAGTAGAAAGCCAAGTAATATCATTGCAGCCATCGGAATAAACAACTCAAAACAAGCAACAGGATCAGTGTCTCATTCCAACAACCAATATTACATCATCATGTTTGATGACCCCCAGTTTCCAACACAGTCACTGAGCCTCCTGATGACTACAGTTTTTGAGGGAATTGTTGTTTTAAAGTCAAGGAAAAAGTGATTTCTTCACTCGTTGTTGTTTCCAATGAAAGCATCAATACAATGCAAGGATTTAAGCTTACAATAAATATTGATATAAACATCACTCTTACATAGTTAAAAACTATATGAAATAAACCAGGTGTTTCATTTCTGCTGTGTTCTGGTGTAATTCATATCTCCAGGTTTTTGTCATGGTACAAATGATATGAGGAAGGGAGCGGAAACAACATTTTTCCTTTTGTCAAAGTATAAATGCACTAAAAACAGCAATGAACTAAAGAGAATCTCTTCCATCAGAGGTAAAAGTCAGAGACTTGCGTGACTTGATTTGAGACAAAAATTTAAGAATGCGAGACTTTCTTGTATTACAATGATTAAAGACTAGACTTGACTTTGACTTAGTATTTATGACTTGAGACTTGAGGCAGATGACTCAAAAGGACTTCACCTTTTTATTGAATATTTTTATTTTTCTAGATATTGAGAATTTATATTTTGTTTTTGAAACATGATTGGGTGATTTCAGTGCAGTGCACCCAAACCTGGCAACCTACTAGGACACAGCAGACCACCAGAGGCCTACACACGAGATGGCTATCATGGAGGGGGCTAGTCCAAAAAATAATAAAGTTTGGATTCAGGAATTATATGGTCGATGACGGCAGTAAGAAGAGAACAGGGTTCAAGGTCTGCAGCTCAAAAATCAGAAACACGACCACCGCAACATCCAATTTCTTTCGTCACTACCAAATTTACAAAGAAAGGTACGTGACTGACTTTTAGCTAACTTATTAGCATATTGGCCAGAGAGCTAATATTTTTGAGGGGGGGGTGGCTGTGGCTCAGAGGTAGAGCAGGTTGTCTACTTATCAGAAGATTGGCAGCTGGATCACTGGCTCGTCCAGTCTGCATATTGAAATATACTCGGGAAAGATATCGACCCCAAACTGCGCCCGATGGCTGTTGGCCATTGGTGTGTGAGTGTGTGTGAATGGTTACTGAGTAGTAGGTGGCACCATGTATGGTAGCCTCGGCCACCAGTGTGTGTGAATGGGTGAATGAGTGGTCAGATAACTAGAAAGGTGCTACACAAGTGAAGTCCATTTACCAGTTAATCTGATCATCAGAATATCATATGACTTGTGACTTCCTTGATCTGATCAATAACTTGACTTTCCTTGCTAGACTTACAGCAGGAACTCAACTCAACTTGCTCAATTCTCACTACAGTAACTTGGGACTTGCTTGCGACTTGCACATGTGTGACTTAATCCCACCTCCGGTACAAGTACACCAGGACAATCCAATAGAGTGGGTGATGCTAAATTCACTAACTCATTACAAAGATCATCCTGGGTCTCAAATTAGAGCTCATGAGGCCCCTCAAGTCTTTCCATCTGATTGCCATATTGTATCTTTGGGAGGAAAATGAGGCCATCATGGGTTTAAATATGAATATCAACCAATCAGTAGAAACCAGTCACTCAATTCAAGGTGCCAATAAACTGGTGCCATCACTCCCTTTACAGAAAACTAATGTCATAATTCTAGCCAGACATTTTCTTCCATCTACTGTACCTCTTTTGGCAGCCTTCTGTCCAGCTCCTGGGAAGAAGCCTCCAGCGCCTCCACCATATCCGCCATAACCACCTGAACGAAACAAAGGGGCAAAGGTGAGCAGGTTTAAAATGTTACCACTATCAACTAAATGTTACACTTACACTCGCACATAAGAAATTACCTCCTCCATAACCTCCAGCTCCCAGGCCACCACCTCCAAGACCGCCAGCTCCTAGACTGCCATAACCTGGATGGGAAAGAAAATGACAGACAAACAGTAGAGTAGAGACAAAGAGACAGATTTAGAATGGACTGACTACAAATTGTAGATGAGGACAAGGGGAGTCTTAAATGGACACAGTGTCTTAAATGACTTGCTAGTGATTTATTCAGCAGTAATTATCTTTCAATAAAAATAACCCATCACTCAATCTTTCATCAAAACATTTTCCAGGACCTGCAAGTACTGCACACTGCACATTTAAAAAACGAAGCACATGAAATATGACACAACATCATGTGTGATTAATTAAGCTTAACTCAAAACATTTATGTTTCTAGAGCCAAGGACTGTACCTTGGGCACTGGGGAAAGAGCTGACCCCCACTGACTAAGAAACACGATAGACAGAACATCAAAGATGGTTGACCATCTGGTTATGCTGTATTCTAAACACTGGAGGGAGCAGTCTGTTCTTTCCAAAACCAAACTTATCTATGGGTGGCAAAAGCTTTTGGCTTGACTTGAAGCATGAGTAAAGTCATATCCCAGCTTGGGTCCTGCTCGCTGACAAGAACAAAACATGTGAGATCAAGATACAGAAATGTGAAAAGTGTGGAGAGAGTCAAGGAACATGAAGTAAAATGCTCATCATCTGCTCATGGATTGAAAGAGACTGGAAGATCCTTAGAGACAGTTCACACAGAAAATAAAAAAAATGATTATTTTCCTCTTACCTGAAGTGCTATTTATCAGTCTAGATTGTTTTGGTATGAGTGTTGGAGATATCAGCCATAGAGATGTCTACCTTCTCTCCAGCATAATGGAGCTAGATGGCACTTGACTTGTGGTGCTCAAAGTGCCAGAAAAATACATTTTAAAATCTCAACAACAATGTCTCTTTCCACAAATCATGACCCAGTTACTCAAGATAATCAACAGACCTTGTTGTTCCTATTGTTTCACATAGGAACAATTTTTTTCCTACCAAACTACACTCGCCGACGATATCAGCTTGCAGAAGGAAGTGTGCCTCTACTAATTGTCTAGCTAATGACAGCATGAGATGTAAACATTAATGGCTTCCCCCTCAGCTGAGCTGTAATGTTAGCTAGCTCAGTGGCGCTAGGTGAGCTAGCAGTAGATGCACACTTCCTGATGCCCATGATACTGTTGCTGGGTAGAGTTCAGTTGAAAGAAAATAGTTCCTATATGAAACTGCTCACAACAAGATCTGTGGTGGGCCATGATTTCTGTAAAAGAGATATTGCTGTTGAGTTTTTCTAATGTATTGTTTTTCACTTTGTGCATCACAAGCCACCATTTAGTTGCATTATATTCAAGACAAGGCAGACATCTCTACAAGAGATTTGTTGGTGTGAGCTGTCTCTTTAAAATTAGGGGCCCAAATGGGAAAGTGGAACCCACTTTACAGCCAATAAAATTAGAGTGCCATCAGAACACTAAAAACTGAAAAATACTTTTAACTGAAGGCATGCATTGCTTTGGTCCAGTGGCTGGTATGAACTAAAAAGCAAATAAGAAATGACAACCAACAGCCTCCTTCCTACAGGACTGACATGTACAAATGTTAAATTTAAAAAAGGTAATTTAATACGTCAGGAAACCTCTGCCTAACATTGTTTTTCTTTGTATGACATTACAAAACATAAAAAATAACAATGAATCAAGTGTAATACTTTTAATGTAAATGCAGTATACGGAAAAAGTGAGCAATGGTGGATTATCCAAATCTCGATTCATTAAGTAGAACTTACCTATCTCCAGATAACTGTCAAAGTGATAGATTCCTTTTTTCTATGGCTAACATATGGGCCTCCATGTTTTAGAACATGTCCGGCACGTTATTCTCAGAACTGTCTTTCTCAGAGTTGTATTAAAAGAAGCTGAACAAGTTCCTCAATCAGAGATAAACATGTTGGCCTAATGACTGTTTTTTAAAAAAAAAAACAAGAAGAAATTTTAATGCTGCCAGCGAGCTAGTCCACCAAGGAACTTGTTTTCATTAATACTTGTAAGCCAAAAAATCTGGGGTGAGAGCAACTAAGCATGGGAAACAAGCTGAACGAGGGGATCTGGAGGGGGGGGCTGCAGATCAGAGTGGAGGGTGAGAGCTCGGAGTCCAACAAACTGCAGGGTGCAGGTAATGATACTGACAAGGAGGGAGGAATGTGCTGTGAGAGAGAGAGGGAGGGAGAGAGAGAGAGAGAGTTGGAAGTGTGGAGTTTCATGAACTAGTCAAAACAAATGTGGGCACTGGCCTTGCCAAAAGCTTGGCAAACAGACTGAGCATGCAGTGCGAGCTCAGACGCTAAGCTAAGCGTTCTTGCAATAATCCATCTCCTTCAAACCTTTCAGCTCGATTCTCCTCGATTGCTCAACCATCCCCAGACACACCTCGAAGTAATAACAACAGTAATCAATTCTTGTATAAATCAGACGGATCTAGGGCTTTCCCCTCTCCAGTGTCTCTTGCGTTGACACAAAGAATCTGTCTCATTTGTCTCATTTTTATCACTGAACTCCACTTACCATAAAAATGTTAAGGAATTGACAGGAAATGGGCGGAAAACAAGAGATTTACACGATATATGGAACACTGCTAATGCCTAAAACCTTTAAAGGGGCAGTGTGTAGGATATAGTGGCATCTAGTGGTGAGGATTGCAGATTGCAACCATCTGAAACTTCTTCCATGTGCCAAGCATGAACGCTTGGTTAGGATTCCTTCAGTGTTCATCGTTCAGGAGGTTTTTACTGGGAGTCAGATTATCTGCAGAGGTTTCTTTTTCTCCAAAACAAACAGGCCAGGGGTCTCATTTATAAACATTACGTTAGCACAAAGCGAGGCCCAAAAGAGACTAAAGCCAATTCCCACGTAAAAGTTGTGATGTATAAAAACAGACTTGATGGGAGAAACTTTGACTCATGCTTATGAATATTTTATTGAGGTGGAGGCCTGATTCTGACACACACCATTTTTGGCTTTTGTTCGTAAGTGCATTTTTAGTATGCATTGTTTTATAAATGAGACCCCAGGTGATTAAAACTGGTAAAAACACTGAATAGAGCAGTTACACGTTAAGAAACTGTTTTTCTGACGCTGCTCGTTGTGGTGGCACTGCTTCCTATGGTGTCCAATGCACAAACCAACACATTCTCACTCCGATCTCGTCATGTTTGATCGACCAACGCTGATTTGACATTTGGTCATGGACTTTCCACATCCATATATAATGTATAAGGTACCCTGGGTGTGTTGGTTGTTGACGTTCTGGGACACTGTGTCAAGTTCTGCCTGTCACGTACATGCATTGTCTTCTTTTAAAATACACTTCTGTTTTCACAGGAAATTTAATGTTTACATACAGTCTCTCTAAACAGTACAAAATCAGTACAACACCGCAAATTAATGTTTTTTTTTCCTTCAACAACAAATGCATGTAGTTAGGTTTAAAAAAAAAAAAAAAACAGGGTTTGCCTTATGGCAAATAATTGGCCTTATAATCTTACAGGACACTGGTGAAGTCAGTGTTTGTTGGACCCATCAACCAACCCTCTTGCTGGCCCCACTCCCACTTTTGCCACCGTAACTTTTGTTCTTGTCCTGCCACATTTCCCTCTGACACCGCCGGGCCCCTGTTAAACTATAATGACCAACGACCAGACATGTATCACACTGACTTAAAGGGATGGCTTTTATCGTTGATATCTGACCCTGCAAGTCACTGTCCAAGCAGCAGATTTCAACGACTAATGAGTGAGATTGGGTTGCAAAAACCTGAATAGCCTTATCTAGAGCCAGTGTTTTTTTTTGTTTTTTTGTTGTCCTGGGCTACCGTAGAAACATGGTGGTACAACATGGTGTACTCCGTAGATGAGGGAAATAAACGATGCTTTCAAAGGTAACATAAACCCAACGATTCTTTTCAGGTTATTGTAGGCTAAAAAACCCCAAACTTTATGTATTGTATTCGATTTCTGCCAATATATCCCCCTAAATCTTAGGTGGTTCTGAGGTGTGTTTGTCATTTTGAGCGTTGGAAATACACCGCACAGTCTGCACAACAGAGATTATGGTTGTCAATGCAAGAGAAACATGGAGAGAGAGTGAAGACAGGCAGCGAGAGACTTTGGAGACTTTTAGCGTATTCATCCATCATCTGGCCCACCTGTGCTCACATGTGCATGACCGGACCTGGCTCTGGCAGTCGTGCTCAGGGTCGACCAGCACCTGCCACGTTGAGCTGATTTGAAGATCAAGGAGACAAGATGCAGACACGCAGAAGTCAGGCTGAGAGGGTGTGTGTCTGTGTGTGTAACCGTAAGAGCAGGCCTTGGGCAGACGCATGGTTTAGACAAGGAAGAAAGGAAAAAAAACTTTACAGTATGTAACTCTGACATCACCAGACATTGGGAAAAGAAAACACTCTCAAGTAACAAATACTACCCTGGAGGTTGTGTATTTTTCTGGGTCAAAGAAAGACGACGCACTGACAAAATCTGGACCATTGTTGGTTTGGCATCCATCCACTGATTGTATATTTGGGGGAGGGAGGAGGGTAGAGTTTTTGTACAAAGGCTCTCTGTTTAGCCATATTTACACCATCCTGTCAGCTCAAACAAGCATGCTTTTGTTGGACTCCTATTGTTACAGCACGTCAGCTCTCACAAATAGACCTGTCTTAGCTCAAACATTATTGGAAGTCTACACCAATGTTGTTTGTTGTCATGAACCACACACATGGAAAGTCTGCACCATGACCCTGATATCAAATCATCTCTTTGCTTTGGTGCTGCTCCCAGTATGTAGTTGATTGCTGACAAGCTGAAGGATTTCTGTGCACTAATGTAGTGGCTTATTTTCTTTGTGACCCTCAAAGCATGATAGGAAGCCAGAAAGCCAGAGAGACCACTTGACACCCTAACTACCTTCGGACCTTGGACTAAGGAACCTTACAAAAGGTCAGTGCTCTGAACACAAGATGGAGGGGACAGAAATCCAATA